GATATTGATGAACCATATTGCTGTCTATCCAGTTATCTGATCCAGAAAACTGGGTATTATTCTAGACTGCTCCGTCTCTGCCACCTTTCCTGTTTATTTTGCTTTCATGTTGGAACGAAGGGTAAGGCTTAGGTGCTTTGTGCCACGATGTATGTGCTGTGACGTATCTAGAAATGCTCGATTCCCACCTTGCTAAATCACTTTGCTCCCCCCTCTTCAGACGGTTGGGATGACTTCACCACCGTCCTGAGCTGGCTCCTGTTGGCTGTTCCACCCTCATCTGCTGCTGTGTTTCTCTCCTACACTCTGTGCGGCAGCTACCCCAACCCCCCGAGACCCCTGAACGTACCGTATTGTTTCAGCTCCGTGCCTTGGTGTGTGGTGTTCCTTCCGCTTGGAATGCCTTTCCTTACTGTGCTAGCTAGTGAACTCTTGAGTTTTTTGTTCTTTTAAACTAGCCTATTTTCCCACTGGTCTGCCTGCGCCCTCATTGCTAATTTACATGCCTACTTACTAGTATTTCCAATAGTATCCGAGCTCCCGAGGCACAGAGAGAGCCTGTTCAGTTTTGTATCTTCAAACCCTGACTCGTGGTAGATGCCCTACAAGTGTGTTTAGGGTTGTCCCACCCGGCAAACTTCCTCTTTCTTTTCTGCCCTGTGCAGGGATTGTTTGGGGTTAGTTGTGTGTTACTGAAACAAATATTCCAGAGAAAAGAATATATGGCAAACTTTCAGAAGAGATATTCTGTGTTTGCTGTTTTGGCTTTTTTTTTTTTTTTTTTTTTTTACTTTGTGTAAAACAATCTGGAAGGAAGTACTTATATGGAGAACATTTTAAATAAAAGTTGCAATGTTCTCCGTCCTGGCCCATAAACCTTCCAGGCACTGTCGTCTTCATCATCTCTTAAATTGTTTTGCCAATCTTCAAGGTTTTACTCTTATTGCCTTTGCTCATCTCCCAAACATCTATACGTTTCCTTAATGCTTTAACAAGATAACATTAATCTCCAAACTCTTACCCCATTCCTATTCTCCTTTTCATCATTTAAAAAAAGAGCTATTTCTGTTTGGTGCTTATCTTCTCACTCAGCCCACTGGAATCTGACTTTAGGCTTTGCCACTAACAAAAAGCTTTCCTTCAAAGATCTCTAGCGACTTCCAGCTTGCCAGTCCAACTGTGTCTCTTTAGCTGCAAGGCCACCTCTTCCCTCTGCAGTTTTGGACACTACAGTATTGATTTCTTCCTTCTTAAAATGTTTTCCCACTCTTAGCTTCTGTGTCACAGCACTCCCATAACTTGTCTTTCTCTGACTATGGCATTTCATTGGAAGAGCGGGGAGAGTCTTACCTTGGGCATATATAGTCACTTCTTTATCAATTTATATTTATTCAACAGATATTTACTGAGTGACAACCAAGTACCAGGCACTGGATATGTAGAGCGGGTAAGGCTTAGCTAGTAAGGAGACAGGAGAGCAAATCAGATATGGTCTAATTTTCTGAAGTCCAGAGTTTTAACCTTATATTTGTTACCTATTTGCTGTGTAACAGATGACCACAAACTTAGTGGTTTCAAACAACACACATTTATTATCTCACAGTTTTTATGGATCAGGCATCTGGGCATGGCTTCAGGGTCTCACACAGGCTGCAGTCGGGGTGTCGGCCAGGGCAGGGTCTCATCTGCAGCCTCGGCCGGGCAGGGACCTGCTTCCAAGCTCATTTTGGTTGGGCGGGATTCATTTCCTTGTGGATGTTGCTCTGAGGGCCTCGGTTCCCTCCTGGTTGTTGGCCAGAGGCTACCCTCAGGTCCTTGACATGTGAGCCTCTGTATAGGGCAGCTTGTTTCATCAGAGCCAGCAAGGAAGAGAACTAATAAGAGAGTTGCCTAGCGTGATGGAAGTGATGACCTTACGTGATATATTCATGGAAATGACATCCCATTACTTTCATTGTGTTCTAATGGTTAGAAGCAAGTCGTAGATTCCTACTCCCTGCCCCTGCCCCCTACTCAGGAGGAGGAGATCACTTGGGGCAACAATACCAGGAAGCACAGATGCACTGGGCGCACCTTAGAGGCCACCTGTCCCAAGCTTCGTATTGTCCGCCCCCTACCCTTCCCGCAAGGTTCCAGGCACCTCAATTTCTACTGCTCTCAAATGGAACTCACTACTCTCCCCTTGCCCCAAACCTGTTTCTCAACCTGTCTTCCTGTCCCGGTCAGTAGCCCCATAGGCATCCAGTCATTTAGTCTAGAAACCCAGATATCATTTCAACACCTCCTCCCGAGAGCTAATGGTGTGCTGGGCTGTGTGGAGTCTTTCATGCCATTCTCTGCTTTCCGTTCATGCTGACATGGCTTTCAGTCAGGTCTCGCTTTGGCCGGGGCCATTGTATTAGTTTTCTTTTATTTTTTTTTTAAATTAAAGATATTTTATTGATTTTTACAGGAGGAAGGGAGAGGGATAGAGAATTAGAAACATTGGTGAGAGAGAAACATCAATCAGCTGCCTCCAGCACACCCCCTACTGGGGGATGTGCCCGCAACCAAGGTACATGCCCTTGACTGGAATTGAACCTGGGACCCTTGAGTCCGCAGGCCGATGCTCTATCCACTGAGCCAAACCGGTTAGGGCTGTATTAGCTTTCTAACTCCTTCTCTGCCTCGTTCTCTTCTCATCAATTCTTCTTTTCCTAACCACCAGAGTCACTTTCATCAGTCCCTCTGTTCGAAACCCTTTGTGCCTCCCAGCCGCCTATCTCCTAAAGGCCTAATTTCTGAGTTTGCTATTCAACCTTTTACGATCTGGCCTCAATTCTTCCATTTGCCCACCACTCTCTGCCATTGCCCTTATGCCTCAGGCACACTGGGCCACTTGGTGCTCCCTGAGCCCATCCCTGCCTGTGTGTGCCTCTGCATTTGGTCCTAGTTACTTCTTCCTGTATTCCCTTTTCCTTCCTTCCTCCTTCATATACTTCCAAACCTATCTGAAAACCACCTCTTCCGGGAAGCCTTCCCCAGTGTTCCCTGCGGGCTGAGGCCTCACTCAGAATGAATCGGTGGCACCTGTGTGCTGTCTGTCGTAGCACTCTGCTTGCACCGCTGTCCCAGACTGCTGTTTTGCAGTGGGCTGCTCAGGTGCCCCTCTCTCTTAAAATGCTAAAGGGCAGGGTCTGGGTTTTACTCTTCTTTGGATCCAAAGTGCCAGCCTCCAGCGCAGTAAATCACAATCTTGGCCGCGTGTTGGGATCACTTGGGGAGCTTCAAACATCACTGATGCCTGGACTCTACCCCAAAGGTGATGCTGTGATTGGTCTCAGGTGTAGCCTGATGTTGACATTTTTAAAAGTGCTCTGATTGCCCAGCTGTGTGCTCGGTGGCTGAGCTTCCCCTATGAACCAGGGGGTCTCCATTCGATTCCCAGTCAGGGCACATGCCTGGGTGGTGGGTTCGATCCCCAGTGTGGGGTGTGCAGGAGGCAACCAATCAATGATTCTCTCTCATCATTGATGTTTCTATCTCTCTCTCCCTCTCCCTTCCTTTCTCTGAAATCAATAAAAATATATATTAAAGAAAATAATGGTGAGGGCCTTCGGTGGCGGGAGGTCGGGCCAGACTGGAGCAGGCTGGAAGAGGTTATTGGGGGAAAAAGGAGGACCTATGCAATACTTTCAACAATAGAGATAAAAAAACAAAAACAAACAAACAAAAAAGGCGCTGTGATTCTAACATGTAGGTAACATTGAAAACCTCTACTTCTAGCTGAAGAAATCAAGACTAGGAGAAGGAAAGGATGAGACTATGCTAAATATTTAATGAATAGGAAGGCCTTAAAACAAGTGAAAACTGAGTTTTTAAAAATCATACACACAAACTCACTTCAAACAGTATATCACATAGCTAAGAAATCAAAATGATTTCTAAATGGGTGGACAGTAAAATGGGGAAATACGTATTTTTGTGGTAATGAGGGAAATCAGAAATGTAAAAGAGAGTAAAATCTCAAAATCCAACACTTACTCATGGACATGGACAGCAGTGGGGTGATGGTGGAGGAGAGGAGTGAGTAGAGGTAGAAAAGGGCAGAGGGGGGATAAATGGTGATGAGAAAAAAAATCCAACACTTTAATTTTTGTACATATGAAGTAAGCAATGAAATGAAATAATGACAAAACAGGAATAACTAGCATTTCCCTTTTCGTTGAGCACTAAAGTATATGTTGTATGTTGTGTGTTGTGCATGTTTGTGTTTGTGTCAGAGGTAAGAAAATAATGGTGAGGGCCTTCGGTGGCGGGAGGTCGGGCCAGACTGGAGCAGGCTGGAAGAGGTTATTGGGGGAAAAAGGAGGACCTATGCAATACTTTCAACAATAGAGATAAAAAAACAAAAACAAACAAACAAAAAAGGCGCTGTGATTCTAACATGTAGGTAACATTGAAAACCTCTACTTCTAGCTGAAGAAATCAAGACTAGGAGAAGGAAAGGATGAGACTATGCTAAATATTTAATGAATAGGAAGGCCTTAAAACAAGTGAAAACTGAGTTTTTAAAAATCATACACACAAACTCACTTCAAACAGTATATCACATAGCTAAGAAATCAAAATGATTTCTAAATGGGTGGACAGTAAAATGGGGAAATACGTATTTTTGTGGTAATGAGGGAAATCAGAAATGTAAAAGAGAATAAAATCTCAAAATCCAACACTTACTCATGGACATGGACAGCAGTGGGGTGATGGTGGAGGAGAGGAGTGAGTAGAGGTAGAAAAGGGCAGAGGGGGGATAAATGGTGATGAGAAAAAAAATCCAACACTTTAATTTTTGTACATATGAAGTAAGCAATAAAATGAAATAATGACACAACAGGAATAACTAGCATTTCCCTTTTCGTTAAGCACTAAAGTGTATGTTGTTGTGTGTTGTGCATGTTTGTGTTTGTGTCAGAGGTATAACTTACTTGCATGTTATTCAGATTTCCTTCTTTGTTTTCTAGGAATATTTTGAAAACAATTGCCCTGGGTCAGATATTGTCCTTGTGTATATGTGGAACAGCCATCACCAGCCAGTATTTGGCAGAAAAATACGAAGTGAACACCCCCATGCTTCAGAGCTTTATCAACTATTGCTTGCTGTTTCTAGTTTATACAGTGATGCTGGCATTTCAGTCAGGTATGCCCAGTGTGGGAATTAACTTTTTCAGTGACCTATCTTCATTAAAAAACGTGGCTTTTAGGCGTTTAAAAAATGAAACGTGAGGCAAAAGTAAGAACAAGAAAAACTATTGCTGCCTTTATAAAAGTCATTAGAAAAGTATGACACCTCTGAATTCTGTGAAAGTACTGATTAGAGATTCATGCATCATCTCTGGCATTGTTGATTAAAATAAGTAGCACCAAACTGGAACAGTACAAATTGTCAGAAAAATTAAAAGTGTAAATGCTATTACAAGTTAGGTTGATAAAATTAAGAGACAATATTAAAAACACTTAAAGTCAAGAACCTCACTCTTCAAAGGCTGTATATGCAACTAAGTGGAGAATGCTAAATGGAGCATCAATTGCATGTAGGTCAAATCTATGTTATGAGAGAAACAAAGACAGGGAATTGGGAAGGAATTAACATCTTTATCACTGACTGGTTAAGTTGTTTTAGAATCATTACAGAATTATCATTTCTCACTAGCTACACACACACAAAAAAGGGAAAAACTAGGTTCTGACAAACATTTTTGTGCCAGACATAATTTTAATTGCTTAGCTCATCTAGGTTTGGTATAAACTCATTGAAGACTCCCAACAAGTCAAGTGAGTATTATTACTATCCCCACCTTACAGATGATCAAACTGAGGCAGGTAGTACTTACATAACTTGCTCTAAGTCATATAGGTGGTAACTGGTGAGCCAGGATTCCAACCTAGGCAGGCAGCCATGTGAGGACAATGGGTAACTCACCCAAATCAATTGGGTGGTTGCAATACTTCTATTTTCACCGTATTTAAAACACAGAAAAAGTACCATAATAAAAGCAGATTTGCTAATCTTCTTTTTAAAAAAATTTAAATATTTTAAAAATTGATTTGAGAGAGAGAGAGGGAGAGAGAGAAACATTGATGTGAGAGAGAAATATAGGCTGGCTGCCTCCTGCACACCCCCTGTTGGGGATTGAGCCTGCAACCTGGGTGACCTTTTAGTGCATAGGACAACACTTAACCAACTGAGCCACACTGGTCTAAGTGAAGAATGCTAAATGGAGCATCGATTGCATGTAGGTCAAATCTATGGTTTTCCTATGTGTCAGGATAAAAAACGTACTTTGAAAGAAAATAGAAACCAGTGATAGGAGTGGGGAAACCATCTGAAGGGTAATGTACCAAACTAACCCTCTTTTAATATGAACCTTAAAGCATCAATAGTTTTCCTATGTGTCAGGATAAAAAACGTTCTTTGAAAGAAAATAGAAACCAGTGGTAGGAGTGGGGAAACCATCTGAAGGGTAATGTACCAAATTTGGCAAGAGCTTTAGGAGTTGGAAATAGAACTGGTATTAGTACATGGCTAGTAGGGACTTTGCTCTTCTCTGTAAGCACTGGCCTTTAGCAAATTCGTGTGATTCATAAACACAGCAATACGGTCTCCCAAAGGGATGGTTGTTAGGTCCCTTCCGTACCATCTCGTGTCGAGGAAGACTGACTGTGCTTTCAGGATTTTCTTGTAAATTGGGTTTTAATGATAATTACCTGGCTGTGAGTCTCACTACCTTTATTTCCTTGTAGGTTATCTTACAAGAAGCCTTCTAATCTATGTTCCAACTCTGAATCCTGTGATGCTAGATTCTCCAAAGAAGTGAATCATAGTTAACTTGAATAAATAGAATTTGGTGAATAAAAGGTGTTTATTCAATGGTGCCACTAAATCCTTTTTTCCAAACTTATAACTGACGTACTTTTCTCTTGAAAGCACATCTTTTTCTTTTAAATTTTATTTTTTTGAAAGCACATCTCTTTTAAAATAATGACCAAGGCAGAGTTTCCTTTGAAGAAGCCCATGAATGGAGGTTACATAGCCAATGAATTAATAAGAAAACATTGCATTTCCTAGGATAATCGGTAGCTTGTCAGGAATGGCAACATCCAAACCTGTTTTAGATATTAGATTTCTGTCACAAAGAGGAAGGGAATTTAACCACTTTTCTCTACTTACTGTCTCTCTGGTGTTTTCATTGAACATTTGGTCTGTGATGACACCTTAGCTCGGTCTCATATTAGAAAAATTTGATTCTGCTGAACTGTTGTAGGAATTTGTAGAAACTATTGTATGAATTAGGAGGGGCCACTTCCAAATACACAGTAAATATAAATAAACATGTAAGCCTTCATTTTAAAGGAACGTGTACTAACCCAGATGTCTTTCAACCAGGCCCTGATAGCCTTTTACACATCTTGAAAAGAAAATGGTGGAAGTACATCCTGCTGGGCCTAGCAGATGTGGAAGCGAATTACCTGATTGTCAAAGCGTACCAGTACACAACTCTCACCAGCGTCCAGGTGAGAGGGCGTTCTCTGACCAATTTGGCTTGTATCGTTTTAAGAGAAGAATCTGAACTCGTATGCGTTAACCTCATTTTGTGGCGAACCTGTTCACTCGAAGAAAACCTAAACACAGGTGGTTGCTATCTGTTTTCAGAGGAGCATATGTGCTAGTGAGTAAGCAGCTGGGAATTAGGGAACATGTACATGAGTTAATGAGTTCCCAAACTGCAAATGCTGTAGCATATTAGAACAGTGTCTTCCCAAATAAGCATAAATATTTAGTTGGCAACCGATGCTGTGATGTTGACGAGAGCTCTGTATACGTTGCTCACACATGGCATATAAAGTGGCTGTACATTTGTGCTACAGAAAAGTGGGAGGTTTGCAAGTAGGTATTCAAACAAAGGAGTGATTGGAAGGAATCTGCTAGACATCTTGGTAGAGATGGTAGCCAAAGGCAAAGCTTATATCCTTATTTGTTTATTAGGTTTTTGCTTGATTGAAAGAAATAGGTTCCTAAATAGCAGGATTTTTCAGCCGGTGGAGTTGAGTCAGACCCATTCAGTTGCCTTTTTTAAAATTGAATTTATTGGGTATCTGTGAATCTAGTGAACAGAATAAACTGGCAAAGAAAATAAAAACAGAGGCATGGAGACATGGAACAGACTGACTGTTGTCAGAGAGGAGGAGGATGGGGGGCTGTATGAAAGAAGGTGAAGGGATTAAGCAAAAAAACATATGGGAAAGGGAGTGGGAGTAGGTAGAGGTGAGCAAAGGGGGCTTAAATGGGGATGGAAAGGGACTTTGCTTTGGGTGATGGGTGCATGATACAGTTGTTGTAATGTTAGGAAACTATGGGAAGTATCGTAACACTGAGTCACCAGTACTAACAACAAAATGTTTTATAAATGGAGGTGAAAGTGAGATAGACGCCATTGCCAGGTTTAGACTTCACCGTTTAATGAATTTATAACTTTCTGATGCATTGTTCTTCTCACTATGTAAAACAGAGATGTTTTATTTGATCTCCAAATTTTAGGAATGTAGAAAAGTTGAAGTGAGATTAGACTTACTTCATTTGGAAAACATAAGGACAGATGGAAACTCAGTATTTTTCCAATGTGAATATACATTAAGTGCTATTATTACCAGGATGCATTTTATTAAATGCTCTCTTTTCTGTCACATGGTGCTAAGCACGGTCCACAGCAGATCTCTTGGTTTTTGACTGGCATGAGCTTCAAAGTCCTGATAGGAAATATTTGTTGTCAGACATTATAGGAGGTACATGGAAAAACCCAGAATTTCATAAAAATTAAAACCGGAAGTTAGTTTCCTAGAGGGTGAAGTTCATCACAAATAGTATTAACTGTGCTTTAAACAATGGGCAGGGAGAATGTAGAAAATAGCATTTTCTAGTCACATCTACCCTCATAATCTCACATGTAATTCAATTAATTGGCTACAATTTCCAGAAACTTTGATCTCTGACTAATAATAATTAGAAGATTTGAATTGGTGCAAGGTCTAAACACAAAGGTGTGTTAAAACACTTGCACTGGGGTTTTTGTGACTGAAGTTCATGCCTTACCAGTATACTACCCAAAATGTCTTGTAGCCTCTTAGAAAAACCTAAGCATTTGGTTGTCAAAAGTTACATACTTAGGGCTCCAGCAAGGGGTATATTTTTATTTTCTTTATTTTTTCCCCCCCATCACCATTTATTTATTTTTTATTTTTTTTTAAATATATTTTTATTGTTTCCAGAGAGGAAGGGAGAAGGAGCGAGAGAAACATCAATGATGAAAGACAATCATCGATTGGCCGCTTTTTGCACGCCTCACACTGGGGATTGAGCCTGCAACCCTGGCATGTGCCCTGACTGGGAATCGAACCCTGACCTTCTGGTTCATAGATTGATGATCAACCACTGAACCACGCTGGCAGGGCTAACTCAATGTTATACTTATGCCTCCCCTGCCCCTCATGGTCTTACTTAGTACCGTGCTTACTATGGCTGCACAATAACTTATAAAAATTAAAATAGGGGGACTCTTGGGACTGAAAGCATCAGAGTCACCAAGAATACATTTTGAAAAGGAGGTTCAATGTAGATAAATAGCTGGATGTGATAGATATAAGATAAGAAGTCCTGGAGTC